ACATTGCAAATTCAGAGGCTGCTCTTTTGGAGCCCATGTTGAGGTCCAGGACTGGGACAGGCATCGGTGTGGGGTCCAGGAGTACTGGACATCATTTTCTAGACTCCAGAGCCACTTCACCCAATGCTTTCCAGAGTCTAAAGCAGCGGTTCTCAACCTGTGGGTCGCGACCCCTTTGGGGGTCGAATGACCCTTTCACAGGGGTCACCTAAGACCATCGGAAAACACATATATAATTACATATTGTGTTTGTGATTAATCACTATGCTTTAATTATGTTCAACTTGTAACAATGAAATTGGGGGTCACTCTATGTTGGAGCCGAGTTGTGTGTGTGGGGGGGGGGGACATGCGGGGTGGAGAACTAAACAAACAGCATCCCCAAAGCCCTAAGTGGGGCAAATCATCTCCACTGGGTTCAGGGTTGAAATGTTGAGAAAAGACTCCGTTTCTTCAGTGAGGCGCCAGGCTGCCCTGGCGGGTTGGCAATGAAAGCCCATGACTGCCTGGCATGCAGCGATGGGAGAATCGCTGGGGCACTGCCTGGGAAGCAGGGGTCTGAGAAGGAATGAGCTGAAGTCAGGTCAGCGCTCAGGTTGATGGCAGAAGCCCTGAATCACGAGTCTGTTTACTCAAGAGCCTGCAGGAGCCACACAATCCACTTATTTGCTTTTTATATCTCCTTCCCATGCCAGGGAGTATAACTCGTGTGTGTGCAAGGCCAAATGCACACCCACATCCTCACAGAAGGCACGTGCCACTGAACAAACAGGCAGGGCAACATTCCAACATGTATGATCTTCTGCCAATGCCCCCTTTAAAACATTTCTATGTTGTTGTTACTCCAAATCTCACTACCAATGGTGTGATCCTCAGTAAGTCTCTTAACCTCTTTGGGCCTCAGTTTTCTCATTTATATAGAGAGCACCTCCCTCCAGGGTTATTTTAAGAATTGGAGCTAATCTGCGTAAAGCACCTAGCCCCAGGATGTTTCAAGATTTAAATGCAATCGAACATGTGAAGGAGATAGACCAGAGTAAATATTCAGTGTCAGCATTACTGTCATTATTATTTCCTTTCAAGCTCATGGTCACATATGAAGCAGCTCCTCTGACAGAGGGCTTCACAGAACCTCTGGACGCTAACTCAGCTCCACTGCTGGCCACGTGTGTGGCTTTGGACAAGTCACTCCATCTCTCTGAGCCTGCTCTCCAAGATGAGGGCTGGGAACGTGGCCACTGTCCCCCCACTAACGAGGTTACAATCCAAAGAGTAACTGCTCTGCAGTCCCATGTTTGCAAACGTGTACTACATGGTTCCGAGGAGATCTCTGTAATCCATGCTTCCAAAGAAGATGCTTGTTTTTCCAGGTAGGCAAGTAATCTGCAGTCATCCACGCTGGTCATGGTGGCTGACTTAGGAATCACTCTCTTTCTCTGCTTTGATGCTGTGTCTACGTCATTGTATTTTTCTTGAGGACAGATACCGGGCCTTGCCCTCCACACACCCTCAGTATTCACACAGTCACATTACATCCCCTTAATAAATGGGAAACAAATATTTGGGGAACCATCATTTGTGGGCACCTTCTCCTAGCAGCCCAGTAGTGAGTCATTCACTTCCAATCAGCAAAACAGAGCTTGTGTATTTAAATTTGAGTTCAGAGGCTTCCAACTGTTTGTCCACAGGTCAACTATTAAGTGATGTTTGGCCCACCTACAGAATGCTTTAAAATGTTTTGAGTTGGTATCCAATCTCTAGAAATTGGGAGACTTGGCATTGAAAAAAAAAATCTAGATTTCAGTTTCTATTAACAAACGGAAGATCTGGCGGCAATCTCTGCTTAGACCATCAGCAGTAGCTAAAGAAAAGCTGCCCTCTCTCCTGTGCCACAGCTCACTACAGCCTCCACTCCCCACTTCCCACTTTCCAGAACTATCTCTGACTCTAGCTGTTAGGCATTAATCTTCAAGGCATAAGAGTGGACTTGGTTTGCCTGCATCTAGGTTGTGCATTACATTTAAAGTAGTGTGTTTTGCATGAAGCACTCCAAATATGCTCCATAAATGTGAGAAGGAGGGACTAACTTGATTAAATTTTGCAAACATGTACTAGATCAGCGGTTCTCAACCTGTGGGTCGTGACCCCTTTGGCGGTCGAATGACCCTTTCACAGGGGTTGCCTAAGACCATCCTGCATATCAGACATTTACATTACGATTCATAACAGTAGCAACATTACAGTTATGAAGTAGCAATGAAAATAATTTTATGGTTGGGTCACAACATGAGGAATTGTATTTAAAGGGCCAGAAGGTTGAGAACCACTGCACTAGATGGTTCCAAGGAGATCTCTGTAATGCATATTTTAAGATAACATTTTTTCCCCCAGATAGACAAGTTTTCTACTCCTTCATGGAGTTAGAGTAGAGAGAGATAAATCTCATGTCACTTATCAAAGCAAACTGAAGCAGAAAAAGTAAACAGAGGCCCGAAAGGCAGAAAAGCAATTTTTAAAAATTAATAAATGATGAGACTATTAACAGCACATGAAAAAGGTTTGCTTTTCCTCTCCCCTTTAATATGATTTTTACCTTAAACAGTGTGTCCCTGTAGGAAAGGGAGGAAAAGTTAATAAAGGAACCTATCACTCAAACTTAATTTTTAGTATGGCAAATAAACTGCTTTAATGAAAGGGCTGAAATCCCCAGGTTTGCACATTAAACTTTCATTCGTTGTAGAGAATGGAAATTATTGATTTAGCCGTGGCATCATGCATTTTGAATCCTACAGTGGCTTGGAAGCCCACGTTACTGCTGGGTGCAAATGTGTTGGCAGCGTTTTGATGCTGGGAGAGCAGAGGGTAGGTGAGAGGTAGGGAGAGGAATATAGGGAAGAAAAGGAGGGAGACTGGCTCTTCACAGAAAGAAAATAATGTTCCTCGTTGCCAAGATCCACTTAGACAAAGCACTACTTCTGACGGTATGATGGGCCAGGGGTGCATTCTGAGATCAGAAAAGCTGGGTTCACTCGGTCTTTTGGGAAATGCCTACAGCTTCAGGGATCACTTAACAAAAAAACCACACAGAATGGATGGCTGATGATTTAAGCCTAAGCTCTTGGGGAAGTTTGGATTTCAAGAAAACTGCAGGGAAGAAAAGTATCTTTCTTGCTTCAAGGTCAGGGTGTCCATCAAGGGAAGAGTAAACATCTGACATTCTAATACTGAATTGGATAGCACAGAAAAATCAATCCAAACCACAAATACAGCTCTCAACCTGGTGTGGCCTCATCACAAAGTCAGGTGACAGGAGCATCCCACCTTTACTTAAAGCACAAAAATAGGTATGTTTTTCTTTTGAAAGAAATTAATTCTCCTACCTCTCAGAGGACCTACCCTGTATTTAAGCAACACTCAATTATTTCCTCCTTAGAGAATTCATAGGGATTGATTCTAAGCCAAGACTGAAGCAACCTGAATCAGGCCTATTGTGGGGTCTTTGTGTACCACAGACTGTATGAGATCAGGAAAGATAATTTCTAATCATCTTTAGAAATAAGCTAAACTCAATTAGAAAAATAAACCTGCCCTGGCCAGCTTGGCTCAGTGGATAGAGCATCAGCCTGTGGACTGAAGAGT